GCTTCTGTGCTTGCTGTCCTCTGCCCAAGATGGTCTTTCCTTCCAGGGCTGCCTCCTCCAGGTCTCCACTGTCAAGGCCCCTTCTCTGTGCCACCTTCTCTGACCACCTTGTGTGAAACAGCAGCCCTTCTTTTTGCATGGAATCGTTTTCCCCACCCATGAATATTTTTTGTATTATTATTCCCCTCCATTATAGAGCAAATTCCACGTGGGCAGGGACTGTTTTGTTCATGGCTGAATCCCCAGCATCTGTTGGGTCATTGGAAAAATCATGATGTATTTTTCTATGCGAAAATGCGTCATGACTTGTCTGATGACCCGTAGACAGCCCTTGGCATAAAATAGGTGCTTGAAAACTATTACTAAGATGACAGATGGGAGGGATCCCGAGTTTTAGATCCTCCCAAAACTTGTCCCATCCAATAAAGAGAAAATTCCCAAACAGTCAGAGGAACCAGGTTTATAAGACTTGGCCACGACTTCAAGAAATGTATGGGAATGACATTTCCAGGGGGTGATAACAATTTGCGAGCAGTTAGTATATGCCACTTGCCACGAGAGGCACTTCATCTCCTCTAACCCTCACACGAGCCCTTTGATAGAGGAATTATTTCGCTCATGTTATAGATGAAGGACTGCTGCTCAGAGAGGTTAAGTGACTTGCCCAGTGAAACACAGGCGGGAAAAGGAGGCAAGATCAGAATCCATAGACCTTTTTTTCCCCCACATTTTTCCAGAGGCTGTGTGCCCTTGCCAGAGACAGAGAGAGAGGAGGAAAGTGAGAAAGCAGCTCTTCATTGGGAAAGGTAACACTGCAATCCCTTCTCTTCCGTTTCTCCTTCCTTTCCGGAGTCTGGGCACGTGTGCACATGTGCCTGGCACAGTTTTCAAGCCGCTGGGTTCAGGACTCAACTGCATGGTTAGTCACGTGGGATCCAGCTTCCTTCGCCACCAGGCCACGGGCTGGCCCTGGAACTAGATGTTTAAATTAAAAAATAAAAATCATGATAGCATGTGCATGCATAAAAGAGACAGAGAGAGACAGAGACAGAGACAGAGAAGTGCACCCTGGACAGGCTCTCATCACAGCATGATCCTCTTCCCCTCTCACTTGTCGGGCTCTTGGGCAGCTGTTGCACGCCCGGCCTGTCGTCAGGCCTACCTGGGCTTCCAGATCCCTGGTCAGCTATGTGGCTTCCTGCACCCACTGCGGTTCATGCTGCTGTAGGCCATGCCGCTAGGCTGGACCAGGACCTTTATTTATTTATTTTAATTGACTGCCTTGTTCTCTCCCGACCCACGGAAGGTAGGAGAGGGAGTGCACCCTGAGGCCCGCTACCCCACCCTCACCCGGGCCCAGCAGGTCTGACCGCTGTCTTCCGTAGGGCTACCGAGAAGGCTGCGCTCCACTTCGCTGCTATGGAGGGGCAGCACCCAGGAGGCCCTGAGCCTGCTCAAGGATGACGTGCTGGTGGTGGACCCAGGAACCAGGTGAGCCATGCGCCCTGACACCAGTAACACGTTAGGAGCCTCTCGAGGAGACTCACCTCCTGGGGAAGAGCCATGTCAGCTCATCCTGGGTGGTCAGAGCCAGGCCGTCCACTGGGGACCTTTGAAGACAACCCCCATTCCACAGCAGGAGAGACTAGAGCCTATGGAGGAGGGACAGCCAAGCAGGGGAGAGCGGGGCCAGTGCTGTTGGACTCTCGCGTTCTTTCCACTCACCGACTCAACATACACTGCGCACCTGCTCTGCCCAGCATGTGTTAAACACGGAGATACAGCTGAGGACACAGCCAGCCAGGCCCCTCCCTCTTGCGAGGGAGACAAGGTGCACACATAGGCAGGATAAATACAAAGGGGCCGGCAGGTGGCGTGGTGGTTAAGGGTGCTGGATTCTCACATGGCTGACTATGGTTCAAGTCCTGGCCAGGCAGCTTGCTTTCTCACTTTCCCCCTTTCTCTCCCTCTTATTCTCCCTTTTTGGTCAAATTAAAAAAAAAAATTAAATAATTTTTAAAAAACATTTTGCCATGATGGAAATCAACAGGATGCTGACCAGGCTGGGAGTGTACAGCTGGGTGACATTAAGTGGAGAAGCCCAATGCTGGAAGCCCTGGAGTGTGGGGCAGGACAGAGAACAGCAGGCCTCAGAGGTCCAAGCCCAGACCTACTGACCCTGGGCAGTGCCCCTTCCCAAATTTGCCCCCTGCTTCTCCAAATGCTGACCTCAGGCCCCATTCCCCTTAAGGAAGAGAAGGATCTGGATGATGCCGAGAGGAGACACTCGAGCACTTTCAGGCTGGAGTCCCTTCCAGCACCGCCACCAACCAGCCGTGTGACCACAGGCCAGGCGCTTTTCCTGGTGAACCCCTACCTTCTGCCTCTGCAACCCCTACCTTCCGCCTCTGCAAAGCAAGCCCGGAGTTCAGCAAGGCCCATTAGGATTTGTGACTTCTTTTTTTTTGGAGAGGTTTTCACTGTAGGGTGCTTGCGCTCGCCAGACAGACAGAGAGACAGAAAGCGAGAAATCACCCCCCAGGGGGGATGGCCATGCTGCAATTCCTTCTCCTTCATTCTCCTCTTGGGATCTTGGGCACGCATGCACACGCGCCTGGCGTGAGTTTAAGCCATCGGGCCCGGGGGTCGACTACATGAGTCCAGCGACATAGCCATTACGCTAACTGCTGGTCCCAGGATTTGTGACTTTTCATCCACCTTTGTGCCTCCTGAAGGCACTATTCAGAGATTTGGAAACTGCTCCTGCCCTGGGAAAGAAAAAAGGCCTCTTAGGGCTTGCTGGTGTCTGCATGCCTGGGGGTGAGGGACCCCGCCTTGTATTTGTCACCCTTGAACTAAGGGATTAGAATCACTCTCCTCCCCACCCAGAACAGTCTAACGCTTCAATTTTCCATGTGATAAAGTAAATAATAGTAGCGTATAAAGAGCCAATAAGATTTGTGCCACCACCTTCCCTGGTGGGTCTCTGGGCCCTGTTCTCCAGCCTGCTGAGAGACCCGGGCAGCTTCCAGCCCCTCTCTGGTCTTAGTCTTACGTGGAGAAGAGTGCTGTTCAGTGGTCTGACCATCGGGGATGCAGTAGAGAAGGTCCCAGCCACTCAGCCCGACTCGGGTGTTATTTCTGAGCAGGCGAAAGAGGCTCCTCCGGGCTCGAGATGTCCGCGGAGGCCCCACCTCAGTTCCCACTGCTCTCCTTCCAGGTGCCATTACAGTACGCTGGCCTTCTCGCTCCTGGCCCACATCCTGGCGGCCCACACAGCCCAGGGTGACTACCAGCGCTGGGTCTCGCAGAACGTGCTGGAGCCGCTGGGGATGGCGGACACAGGCTTCGACCACACGCCCCACGTGCGTGCCCGCCTGGCGGCGGGCTTCTACGGCAGCGGGCGGCCGGCGCCACTCTACGACCTGGGCTGGTACCGCCCGTCCGGACAGATGTACTCCACCCCTGCCGACCTGGCCAAGCTGGCCATGGCGCTCCTGGGTGGCGGGCCCCAGCGGCTCCTGCGGCCGGATGCGGCCAAGATGCTGCTGGCACCGCTGCTGGCCTGCCCAGACGCCTACTTCGCCAACGAGACCGGCACACCGTGGGAGTTCCACGCGCAGCGGGGATACCGCGTGGTGCGCAAGGACGGCGACCTGGACGGCTACGCCGCCACCTTCTCGCTGGTGCCCCCGCTGCGCCTGGGCCTGGTGCTGCTGCTGGCCG